ACTTTATCAAAACAAAATTTACCCATAATGGAATTACACTCTACCACAGTGCACAAGTTTTATTCTTATATCAGTACATTGTTACCTAATTTATTAGTCACTCTGCATCTTTCACATCTCTCACGTATTTATTACGTAACTCCTTTACCATTGTATGCATACATTTATTTTTTGTTTAAACTTGAACTGCCTATGTAAAAACTATATAAGCGCAATTCTCTGAGCACTGTTCATGAATTGTGGAACTTTCTGTTAACTAACAACATGTAAAATCTCCAAGTATGTTAAAACTTCTCTGTACATAAACCTCATAATTTATTTAGGCTGTAAGCAGCAGGTGAGCTGATGAGAAGCCAACGAAATAAATGATGACACCGTCAAATTATTCTGTACAAACCGCCACTGTTGTTCTTGCTTTATTGAAATTAGTGAAGATTACTACTATTATTATTCCTTTGGGTTCCGGGTGTAACATAGATGGTGGGGGTGGGGGATTTTGCAGCACATCTGCATTTCATAATGTTCTCTGCTGCCCTGTTTCACCGGCCCCACGATTGCCTGCCTATCAGTGTTCACCTCCTCCTCCTCGGCACACGATCTCCTCTATGCCACCCCCTGGACCAATGACCCAATACTCATCATTTTCTATTCGACTTCCAGTTGAGATATCGCCTGGGGCGCGATATTACCCAGCCCCATATCCTCAGCGCGTCCCCCCCCTCCCAGACATCTATTTCCTACAGCATATTTGTACAGCAGTTAGGTTGGCTGTCGCGCCTGTTGGTTCGTGCTCAGAGTTTTTTTTTGTTGCTAATTCTTTCTCGTCATCCATCTCATCTTCAGTATGGAGTCAGCCAGCGAAGGGGGCAGCTGTTAGTAAAAGTTCACAGTCACCGTTGAAAATGCTGTGTCGTGACGAGCTGGCCAATTCTCTGATGCACATAGAACACCACTAACTGACTCAAGACTATTGTTGAAAAGAAGATACATGCTAAAAATTAATGCTCTGATACATTTAAAATTGAGTTGCATAGTCAAGAACAAGATGAGAGAAGTGAGAGATGATGCGCGTAATACTGTGATGACTTTACCTCATGGTCATAGGAACAAAAAGAACTGAATTACACTGTAGAGAAAAAAAGTCGGAAGGGGTTGAAAGCAATAAATTGTGCAATCGATTGGCACGAAGAGAAGAGACATTGAGTCACCAAAGCAAAGAAAGATTAACTAAGTGGATTTTTTAACAACATAGGTCAACTTTCAAAAGATTAATAATAACGATTGCTTCGGCAAATTTGAGAAGGAGTTCAATTTTATTTTCTATTATTAATCTTGAAGGATTTCATGCTGTCCACCTCATGGCACGCACGTATTCACAACATGTCCAGCAATAGCACTTTTCAAGGCATTTGTTCCATTGAGACGTAAACTTCTTAGTACATTTAAGTAAATTTTAGATTTTCCCGTCTGTCCAGTGATTGATTGGAACGAAGTGCTCAGTCTCAGGTTGACATGTCTATCGGCTTCTTGTGCAGATGCTTCGACGTTTGAAACTATGGGCAGTGGGTTTGGGCCTCCGTGGGAATATCATCACTGACTCACTGGGGAATGCAGGTATATCCAGTTAGCTGACGAGTCCCAAATAGGACCAGTGAGATGCGCGTTATCCTGAACTGGATTCCACTGCTAGTCACCATCCACCAATTAACTTCTTAGTACATGTTCAAAGAATTTCCCAATGTAACTGCCACGCAGATACACGCAAACTTGTAAAGACAATTAAACTTAACATGGGAAGGGCATTCTATCAACCTATGATTGTACCAAAAAGTTTGCTGGTCGACAGATGGGAACCAATTCGGCTGCACGATTGAATTCTGGCTAGAGACGTTTTCAGTATTCTATAAATCAATCGTCCCTACAATATTATTATCACCTTCAAAATTTCAGATCTTCCACACTTGTTGATGGAAGACCGTTAGTGCTGCCTAGATGCACAGGCCATGGCACAATTGCTTGAGGTTCTTCATATATATATATATATATATATATATATATATATATATATATATATATATATATACACGTTTGGTTAATCACACACACACACAAACACGCACTCACCTGAAGATGAAATAGAAGAACATTTGAAAGAAGATAAAATATAATCAAATTTCACAGAGTCATGCCATAAAAAAGGTAGGATCTCAAACTCTACGAATCACTCCCCCCCGCAACCCGCCAGCCCAGAGACTAATTGATTATTTGGAAAGAAGGTAAGATAATCACCTCACTTTTACTCTCATAAACAACAAAATTAACTGTGTGTTAAGAGTCTAACGACCACTGCTTACGATAACTAATCATACAGACAGCCATTAAGAGAAATGGAAATAAGACAATCAGTTTTCAAACAAAGTCAACACATCAAGCCATTGAGGCATACACACACCCAACCAAGTGAATACTTCTAAACAAATTTCAAATAAAAATATATAATACTTGTCAGTAGTTTATGTGGTAAACCATAATTCCAATATTAGATTACAGCGTAAAACGGAAAGAAAGTGGGAAGTTAAACACACTACTGTGTATGTCTACAGAAAACCTACACATTCAAACAGATATTTGGATTGCTGATTATTCCACCATACGTCAGTGAAAATAGGATTGATGAAATGTTTAAGTGACGATGGAGCACAAAAACTAAGTAGTACCACGGAAAATCTAAGCCAGGAAGTGACACACACAAAAAAAGCCTTGAAACTTAATAATTACCCTGATAAATTAGTCAGGAAATATGTAAGGAAATGTAAAAATAAAATAAATAATGATGGTAGTGATAGTGATAATAATAGTGATGACAACATGCAAGTCAACACCAACAATAAGGAATCTAAATCATCAGTAATTCCATACAAGGAAGGAACCTCGGAAACCACCTTACAGCCAAGAATTCTTAACAAGGCGGGCAGGAATAAAAATGGCTGGTATTCAAACCAACCACAAACCCAATAAGCAACAAGCTTTGTTGGTTAAAGGATCCTGCCAATGGAGCCTTTAAAACAAAACAATTTAGTTTATCTAATACCCTGTCTGTTGGAATGATTGTCAGGTCGAATACATAGAAAAACAGAGTCAGTCGGTGAGTCAGACTAGCTGAGAAGCATAAAAACCTAGCAGCAAAATCTAGATTAGTTGACCCGACCGAATAAGATAAAAAATCTGGAGAATAGTTCATCAGCTATCCCAAGTACTGCATGCAATTACACACAACCTACCATAAAATAGGCTGGATGGGATAGGATGACAGTTCTGTTTGTACACGCCACCTCTGATCACAAAATCATTAAAGGTGCAGAAGTTTGCGAATAGTTCTCTGTTCTCATTCATTTCTCTGAACGAGAGTCTCTCGACCCATGATAAATCCTCTTCCTGTATTATCTGCTCATAGTCTGGCTTGCATTCATATCACCTAACTAGCAAGCTAGTTAACTAACTAGGCGAGGACCCCGGATACATTAGCATCACTTACTTACTGAATCGAAGAATTCAAATGAATCTGAAACACTACGCTGACACTGTGTGTCGGTGGCACAGTGGTTAGGACTATCGCCGACCATGCACATGGTCCGGGGTTCGAGCCCACGCCGACGCACACCTGATATCTATGGTCGGCCTGTGAAAATTCGGGCTACCGATATCCACGCTGAAAATTCCATACTTGTACCAAAACTGCAGTGTGGAATCAAGCTGTAATCAAAAATATAAATATATTTCTAATAGGTAGGAGTATGTCTGAGAGCTATTATTTTGCAGTAGTATGATGTGGTGAATTTGTCATATTCAAGGTCGGACATAGTGGTACGTTCTCTTTCTGTACTGCACTTTCGGTAGACCATATAACCGGGGAATTACAAAAACTGAGGGTTGTATTTGCTCTCATAATTAATCGATTCGTTCTTTAGCGCTTCTTCAACATTTGTGTGTTATCTTCCCTTTAATTTTGTTAAGTTTGGTCCTATTTTTTTCTTTTGAAAATTTGCTTTCGTCTGATGATATTGTGGTGACAGCAGGCTGTTAGCCAATTGGTAGACATTAATTTACGTCAATGTCTAGGTCCCTAATATTGGCCGTGAGAAAATATGAACAAGACTGATTCAACAACCAATCACAGCAGACTTAACGTGGGCAAATACGATTCGCAGATAAATGGCTTAACGTTCTGGGAAACCAGTCACAAGCCGTACAGAATAACTTCGAGCAAGAAAGAACCAATCAGAAGACTGTGTTTGTCTGCTTGAATAAGCGATAATAATGTACATGAAATATATATAAGTAGGTGCTGATTTCCTTAATAAACGATCAGTTGACTGGCCCTTGTCTTCTTTTGTTACAATATGACGGATAACATTTTATCAACGTAGTCTTGGCGATTCATCAGGGCGATGCCAGAGCACCATCTTTATAGGGACGGATCAGCACTATATGAAAGTTTCGTGCTTTTTACATCCGTTACAACGTCATCTTGATTGAAAGTGAATTGATGTAGTGCATAAAATTTCTCTACTAGTCTTTTTTGTCACTTCGAATGAAGCTTATGTGTTCTTAGTGAAATGTTTCTTTCTATCACTGATATTCGAGATTTTATTTCATCGATGATATGATGTATATTCAGGGTCGATTCAATAAGTGATGCTAATGTATATGAGAAGAAAATGATATCTCTGGATGTTACGTTCTTTTTTCACTAATCAACATTTCTCACGCTGAAACTATTTGCTTTATTATCCATATTCATCGAGGATTATAAGGTTTTATATTCATTCATATTTACAGTAAGTTAAGAAGAAGAGAAAAAGCTTTACGATGTCCTTCAACGTGTCTTCAATGTTTGCAAAGATCTCATTGGAAGAAACAATACAAATTATATATGTGAACATGCCGAACTATTTCTTTTGCACAATAACGAACTCCTTAAACAACTTTTACTTACTTACCATTTACGTTCAACAACACTATGTACCGCCAAATTGACGGAGTCGTCATGGGAAGCCGCCTGGGTCCGATTCTGGCAGACATTTTTATGGGTAGTCTAGAACAAACAAAGTTAAAATCCTCAATCAGCCAGACAAACTTCTAAACCAGGTATTTCGATGACGCCTTCGTTATCTGTAATTCTTTCAATGATGCATGTCAAGTATTAGAAGCCTTCAACAGCGCCCATCCTAATATTAAGTTTACAATGGAGTATGAAAAAGAGGAGAAGTTCCATTTTCTCGAGCTGGGTATCCAACGAGATAGAGACGCCAAATTCATAAGATACATACACAGAAAAGAGATCTGGAGGGCAGTTTATCTAAACTTCAAGAGCTTCTGCCTTTTAAGTTACAAAAAAGGATTGGTGGGAACATTATTTGATCGCATAAGGAAGCTGTGTTCAAAAGAAAAGACTGAGGAAGGACTATCCATTGTGGACAAATGCCTAAGCGACAACTTTCACCCACAAAAGTTCATCGACAAGTATGAGAAACGTCATGTTGAAAAAGTGGAAAGCAGCACAGTAGAGAAAAAGCCTATCTTTCTGCAGCTCGCATTCAAAGGTGATGATACTGCTGGTAGAATGAGATGCAGATTGAACGCTGCCTTGAAAAGAACATATCCACTCGCCAAGCTTGTATGTGTTTATCAAACAAATAGTAGTTGTTTGAGACAATCAAAAGTGGACAAATACCCACCTCATGTTACCTCCAACTGTGTCTACCAACTTACATGTTGTACATGCCAAAGCACATACATTGGAAGAACACAGAGAGAAAAGGGTTAGTATCCGCATTTCTGAACACACACACACGAAAAAGAACCTGAGACTGAAACGTCGGCAAGCATTAAACAGTGTGATTGCGTGTCATCTATTGAACACTGGTCATATTGTAGAAGTCAACCTGCAGTCGTTCAAAATAATCAACAAGCATCTTCTGGTACAATTGTTGTTCAAGTTAAGAAGTCAAGTATACACAAGAAGCCAACAGACAAGTCACCCTGAGACCGACGAGCACTTCGGTCCAATCAATCAATAGACGAGAAAATCTAAAAATTCAATTCAATTAAATAATTAATATGACTTGTTGCATAAGAGGTGGAGTGGCTCTCATGGCCCAAGTGGTGTCCAGTGGATAACGCTTTGGCTGGTGTTTGAAACTATGGGCAGTGGGTTCGAGCCCCCGTGGAGGGAACATCGTCACTCACCGACTGGAAAATGCATTCAATTAGCTGACGAGTCCCAAATAGGACGAAATGCGCGTTATCCTGGACTGGATTCCACTGCTAGTCACCATCCACTCGCAGTTAAGGAATGGGGTTGTGGAGCATGAACACTATTTGACGATTAACATGAACGAAGACCTGACAAGAACTACTAAATATTGAAATGTATAACAATTAAAAATTGCTTACCTCATCTTCATTTTCTGGCAGTGTAATCGTCTTACCAATGAGTACATCATCGCCTGAAACTCTTGTCCCAGGTGCAATCAAGCCATCATCATCTAACTTGTCGTAGATAGCATGACGCATTCCTTGACAATTTTGTGGATTCGGTTTCTCGAATACCTCCTCTAAATCCATACCATGTCGAGTCTCTTGATCTTTATAGGTTCGGTAAAATTCAGATCTAAAAAATCCACGTTGTATAGCACTTTCATTTAAGATGACAGAATCTTCTTGATTATAACCAGTATAGGTTGCTATAGCAACGATTGCATTGATGCCTAAAAAGGAAAATGGATATTTTGATTTGTGGTGAGAGCTGTCTGCTAGCTAGCCAAAACTGGAGTACACAATAATTTTTACGTTAATGTTTAGGGTCCCCAATATTGGTCATGAGGAAAGAACAAGAACAAAGACTGACTCAACAACCAATCACAGGACATTTTGTTTGCGTAGGCGGATGCAATTGGCAGATGGATAGCTGATCTGACCTTCAAGAAACAGTCACAAGGAGGTGAAACAACCAATCAGAAGACTGTATTTGTCTGATAACAATAATCGATAGTAATGTGTATGAAAATCTATAAATATGTGTTGATTTACTTAATAAACGATCTGTTGAATGGCCCTTGTCTTCTGTTGCTACAGTTTAACCATATAGGAGTCCAATCGACAGTCAGGCTTTTTTAAGGAGCTATAATCCATAAAAATGCTACTAGGCCAGTAGCCTAGTTATTTGATCATCTCTTTATGGGACACCAAAATAACTTAATTCTGCCTGATGTCGGCTAACATTGCTAATTTGAGGAAGGCAGCGGTTGAGGATGTGTAACACACGTGGGCAACTTTTGTCTCAATCGATTTAGCTTCACAGCCTTATCGATTGACTTCACTTCATCACCCATAAAACTCTACGTCCTACCACAATAATACTGATATAGGTATAAAACTTGGACACTCACTGTGGTGGTAGAGTAGACTATAACTCCATTATAGATAAGATTTGATTTTGATAAACTGTCACACAATGTAATGGTGTTATACAGTAATATTAACTGATGTGACCACACGCAATTTCGAGCACAATTTATTATTATTGCCGCTCATAATCATATCAAGTCATTCACTCACTCACACAATGTCTTTCCTTCATTTATATATATGAGTGGAATTGATCAGACATTGGAATAAAAATCAGTAATATAGGATAATGTACATTCAGAAATAATAATAATAATATGAGTGCTATGAGTGATCAATTACAATAATCAGATGGGAAATAAGACGAGTGTTTCTTTTATAGTCAAAATAAGTAAGTAACTTGTTAGAATGTTGTGATGATGTACGTGAATTGCATTGAAACAGAATACAATTTAAGATTATTAATTATCCTCCTCTGATTTCACTGACTGACTGACTGGCGATAATAATATCTTCCATGCATATTTCTGGTTTTGCATTGAGTCACTTCTGTTGCATGTGTTGTGTTGGGTGCAAACTCGATGAACCAGGCAGGATTCAGTAATCAACCTCTTTCTATCTCCACATTCATAGATTACTTCTTAGAATCTTAACCGTCTCCCACCATGCTATTGTGTGGTTGTTTGTCAATGCATGAAGTGAAATTGCTGAGCACTTTTCTAAATGACTTATCTTCTCCGGTGGGGTGAACCATTCTTACCTTAGCTAAATTCTTATGTTTCGACAATCCGATTTTCCCCGATCTACTAGTTTAACCTATGCAGTTGACCTAACTCACAGTCATTGCAGTGTATTTTGTAAATTATATTATTTTGTTTAATTGGGTCCACTGGGTCGTTTACCGTACACAGCCTTCTGTATCTGCCAAGAAGCCTTTGTAAATATAGATATATGACTGCAATTCAAAGGTGATGCAACCAAACTACAAGATCAATTTGAATGACCTTTGATGCCCATAAGCCGTAATTCACACTTTCCATACAACTTGGTTGGAATTCTGAAACTGAAAGGATCAGGTACACTAGCCTAGTCGTCACCTGTAATTGTATCTATCACAATCTAAGTGATTCTGTGTGCGTGTGTGTAGCCAGTTTAATTGTTCATCGCCCCCCCCGCCTATGAACTTAATCTTTCATTCTCTGAACCAGTGTGTGTGGTAGTTAAAACCATCAACAGTTCTATTATCAGGATCACCGCGTTCAAACAAGCCATGTGGTTAAGCATTGAGCAGTGGCTTTCTATTAATCATTGAGTATACAATAAATTGCCAAAGACCTCTAAATACCGAACAGTCCAAGCACTCCAGGCAGCAGCAGAGGCCAACAAAATTCGCTTAAAAAAACAACCGGAACTCTGCTACCATCTGAACTGCTCAGAGTAGTATAGTAGAGGTTATATATTCAACGGGATGTTATGTGAAAAACAACAAAATGGATAATCAGGTTAAGTTTCTCGAAATGCTCTGCCCAGCGTTCCAGGCGTCTTTTCCAACTGTTAATTCGCGTACCAACTGCCTCACAGGCCGTCTAGCTGAAACCGTGTTTCTTGCTGCCGGTGGCTCGGATGAGTTGGAACAGCTTCTGACTGTTCCCAGATGCAGCAGCTGATGAGATTTGCAACCGTATAATGAAGGCGAGGGTGGCATACATCAACTTCAGCCACCTCTGGTCTCCCGCCGTCACGACTTTAGCCTGGCTGTCAAAGGTCGGGTATACAATGCTTCAGTCCCTTCTGTTCTCCTCTACGCCTGTGAAACCTGGCCTCTCCGAATGGGCTGAGGATGTGCGGTGGCTCTGTGTGTTCGACCAGCGCTGTCCCCACAGGATTGCTTGCGTTCGATGGATGGCATCTTCGCGTGAGTAATTCTGAGGTTCGGCGACGTGAGTTTAAACACAGTGGAGATCACCATTCATTGAATGTTGTCGTCATCTGGAAACACCGGTTCCGATGGCTCGGATATGTGCTGCTGCGAATGTCACCACAGAGGCTTCCATACAGGTTTCTGTTCGCTAGCCAGCCCTGGATTGGGATGGAAAAGGCAAAGGGGTGGTCAGTCCATGGCATCGTGACGTCGTGGGATGAAGGATGTTTGTGCTAGATTAGCATCGGTTGGTGCATCGTCACGACTCCCTGGTTAGGCTCCGCGAGATAGCTCGAATCAATGGCTCGAAACGTTATCGGATATGGCCAAGAATCGCATTCATCAATGGCGAACGTGTTGAAATTTCCTTCTTTCTTCCCTTCCCGATGATAGTTGACCAATACTGTTTGAACTCGTTAAGTAGTATGACTGTTTTCCTTCCAGATGAAGTTCTTTATGCGTTATCTACTTATATATATTTTTATGCTTTTGATCTATGTTGTTTTATTACTGTTCTTGTGTGGCGCATGTTTCTTGGTGCCATATTGTACCAAGTTTTTATGCGTTTAAATGAATAAATAATAACTTTCAAATCCCTCCCGTTGATCTCTTCCCGGATAGAGATGTGGTTATCTGATATAGTGTCCTCAGGTCCCTTTTGCCTGCTGCCTTCTCAGCTTCATTGACGAGGTTGTCTCAGAATTGTCTTTTGTCCTTCCTAGCACTCTTCTTCACTTCTTTATCCAGTGCTTTGTAAGTTGAGCTCAGCGTCTCTTTCTCTTGCCCGTCTCTGCATTGAATCATTTTCGCTTTCACCATTCTCCTCTCTTCTATTGGCTTCCAAGTGTCCATTGAGAGCCATTCCTTGTCTTGCCTCTTCTTTCTTCCTAACACCGTTGAACACGTTTCGTTGAAAATCACTTTCAGAGAGTTCCAATGGTCTTCCACGCATGATTCTTCAGTGATGTCGCCTAGTGTTTCCTGCTTTGCTCTGACAGTTGCAGTGAAAGTGTTTTTTGTGGTTGTGTCCTTCAGTTTTTGAGTGTTGAACTTGCATTGTAGCCTATCCCCAGCTATCCTCGAGGCTTTTAGCTTTACCTTGAAAGACCCTTGTATTAGATAGTGGTCTGAACGCAATAACGCTATAAAATACATTATTGTTATTATTATTAAAAAATAATAATAAACAAATCGGTAATCAGGTAAAGGAAGGACCATGACAGTAAAAGACAAAAACAAAAAAAAAGCTATTCAAAGAAAATACTCACCAGCTGGAAGTTCTCTAAAGCGTAAATACTCCATAGATCGTGTAGAGACGAGGGGTTTTTGAGGATAGTATAAAACATTAGCCAATGTATCCATTCTCGTATGGAAATTACTGATATACACACCCATGGCTTGTTTACCCATAGCACTTTGATACGTATTCCTTGGTGATTGATTATGATCAGGAAAGGGAATAATACTGGCACAAATCCCCAATATCATGCTGGGATGAATTTCACAGTGTGTATGCGTTTTACAGTAATTCACTGCAGCTTGCATCTCTGCAGGACCCATAGCTATCATCACAGTCTCTTCTTCAAGAGTATCGATATACTCCACGACACCACTGAGCACAAGATCCTGCCAACTATATAACATATAAAAGAAGCGGTAAGAAGTCATTTAATGTAAAAAATTAATAATGATAATAAAGATATAGTAGGAAATAGAATATCAATTAAAATTAAGGGGAGATTCCCCAAAGATTCAAAATCATTCAAACCTGGATGGATGGACAACAAGCGGGTAAGGATAATGTCTGAACCAACCAACTTGTTTTATTATTATTATTATTGTATCCTTTAGTTCCTAGAGGAACATAGGGCTTCAGCTGCGCACCTCCATTGACTTCGGTTTTCTGACAACTTTTTCACCCTGCTCCAGGTCTGTCCACATGCTTTCATCTCCTCCTCTCATGACCTCCTCCAAGTCACCCTTGGACGACCAACTCGCCGCCTCCCTTTCGGGTTCCACTCGAGGGCTTGTCTAGTGATGTCACTTGATGGTTTCCTCAGCGTATGGCCAATCCATCTCCATTTCTTTCTGCCTATTTGTTTCACAATCGGTTCCTGATTGGTTCGCTCCCAGAGATCCCTGTTGCTGATCTTTTCTGGCCATCTGATCTTGAGTATTGAGCGGAGACAGTTGTTAATGAAGGTTTGAAGTTTGTTTGAGATGCTCTTTATGACTCGCCAAGTCTCTGATCCGTATAGTAGCACTGACTTCACATTGGAGTTGAAAATCCGGATCTTATTTTTGATGCTGATTGCTGTTGACCTCCACACAGATTTGAGAGTAATGAAAGCTTGTCTTGCTTTTCCGATTCTGGCTTTGATGTCCTCGTCAGTTCCGCCTGTAGTTGAGACGATGCTTCCCAGGTAGGTGAAGGAGGTTGTTTCTTTCAGGTTCTTCCCATTTATGCTTATTGTGGTCTGTTGGTGTTGTTGATGTTGGCTAGGAATCTTCATCATCTCTGTTTTATCTATGTTCACGTGAAGTCCTATCTTTGATGCTTCTTCTGCCAACTTGTTACTTTTCACTTGCATATCTTCCAGTTTATGGGAAATCAGACATATATCATCGGCGAAATCCAGATCCTCCAAGTCTTTTGTGTCAGTCCATTTTATGCCTGTTCCCTCGTTGGTTGCCGTTGTCTGTCGCATTATCCAATCAATTGCAATCAGGAAGATCATTGGTGATAGTAGACAGCCTTGCCTCACTCCCGTCCTCACTTCGAAGGCTTCCGTAAGTTTCCCGTTGTGGATTACTTGGCATGCAGCATTGTCGTATAACTGTTGGATGAGGTGTATAATTGTCGATGGGACCCCGTAGTAGCGAAGTAGTTTCCAAATGACCTCTCGATCGACGCTGTCGAAGGCCTTTTCAAAGTCGATGAAGTTGAGATAGAGAGGTGACTGCCATTCCAAGCTTTGTTCAATGATGATCCGTAGAGTGGCGATTTGATCAATACATGATTTGTTTCTCCTGAATCCAGCCTGTTCCGGACGAAGTTTTTCATCTAGGGCTTGTTTGATTCTCTCCAGGATGATGCGACTTAGTATCTTGCTTGGAATGGACAGAAGCATAATTCCACGCCAGTTTTTACATTGACTTAAGTCTCCTTTCTTTGGAAGTTTGAATAAGTAACTGTTCTTCCAATCCTCGGGTACTTTGCCCTCTTTCCACACCTTCTCCAGTAGTGGTGTCATCAAGTCCGCTGTTGTCTCTGGGTCTATTTTCAAAGCCTCTGCTGGGATTCCATCTGGTCCCGGTGTTTTCCCAGTTTTAAGCATCTTGATTGCATTCAGGACTTCTGATTTCGTCGGGGGGTCAGTGTTCACTGGTAGTTCTGCTTCCGTTGTTGGTATTGCTGGACGTGTTGTAGGTGGCGGACGATTTAGAAGTCTTTTGAAGTGTTCAACCCAGTGCTTTCTCTGTTCCACCTCTTTGGTGATTGACTTTCCATTGTCGTCCTTTATTGGCTTAATCTGTGTCGAACGTTTGCCCGAAAGGTTCCTAGTTGTTTGGTAGAGTGTGGCGAGGTCTCCTTTGCCTGCAGCTTGTTCTGCTTCGTTTGCCATGGTTTCATAATATTTTCTTTTGTCTTCCCTGGCACTTTTCTTCACTCTTTTGTTCAGTGTATTGTAGCTTGCATTCAGCTCCTGTTTTTGTTGCTCGTCAGTGCACTGGATAATCTTTTGCTTCACTGTCCTTCTCTCTTCTATTAGTTTCCAAGTGTCCGTAGTGAGCCACTGTTTGTCCTGTCTCTTTTTTCTGCCTAGAATTTCTATGCAGGTTTGGCTCCACACCGTTTTCAAGTTGTTCCAGTGCTTTTCAACGCCGACCTCTTCGCTAGTGTTGATTTGTGTCTCGGCTTTGTCCTTTATGCTTGCAATGAAGATGTCCTTTGTAGCCTGGTCCTTCAGCTTTTGAGTGTTGAACTTGGCTTGTGGTCTATCTGCAGCTCCTGATTCCCTGAAAGCTTTTAATTTGATTTGGATTGTCCCTTGTACGAGATAGTGGTCTGAGCCAACGTCTGCTCCTCTTCTTGCTTTTGTGTCCAGTAGGCTGCGCCTCCACTTCCTTGAGATTGAGATGAAGTCGATTTGGTTTTTGGTTTGCCCGTCTGGTGACACCCATGTAGCCTTGTGGATATCTTTGTGCTTGTATACACTGCCACCAATCACCAGTTCGTTGAAGGCGCAGAAGTCGGCGAAGAGTTCTCCGTTTTCATTCATTTCTCCTAGAGCTTCTCTACCCATGATGAGTTCCCTTCCCGTATTGTCTGGTCCCAGTTTGGCGTTCATGTCTCCCATTAGTATTTTCATGTCGCCAGCTGGAGTATTGTCCATTGTTGCCTGTAGTTGCCTGTAGAATTCTTCTTTCTTCTCGAGGTCTGCGTTGTTTGTGGGTGCATAACATTGTATGATTGACACTTTCCTTCCTTTGGAGTTGAACCTGGCGGTCATTATCCTGGACGAAATCGCCTCCCATTGTATCAGGGCTTTCGTTGCCGTTGGTGACATCATGATAGCCACGCCCTCGGTGTGCGTGTGGTTATCTTCTGGGTGACCGGAGTAGATCACTGACTCACCTGTTGACAATTTGGTGAGTCCACTCCCATTCCATCTGCTCTCACATATTCCCAGCACTTGTATTCCGTATCTTTTCATCTCGTTGGCGATCTGGGCAGCTTTCCCAGTCTCGTACATAGTTCGGACGTTCCATGTTCCTACACAGACTTTTTCTTTTGGTGCAAGGAGGTTCATCATACTGAAGTTTCTTTAGCAATTTTTGTTTACAGGGTGGGGTTGCTAGCCTCACGCCTGAGAAAAGAATGATTACATTAAGTAAAAGTTTAGAGAGAAGCAACTTTTTGGGTTGCTCCCCTCAAAATCAGAAAATAACGGACAAACAATGAGAACAACATCAACAAAGGAAACCAACTTGTTTTGGATGCACAAATTAGGCTTGTTAATCTGGATCCCAATGGCCAGCCAGCCAGCCTCAGCAATATTTAGTAGTCGAACCACTCTTAAGGCGAAATTGAGATTCGTTGTTTTATCTCCTTTTTCTGTTGGATATGTCTTTCGGTTTGCATAATATCGAATAAAGTGGTTTGACTTGTTTGTGTACCATATCTTTATCAAACCGTTTCAGTATTTTAGCTGTCATTTCAGAGATATTTCTCATGTATGGCAGGATGAATTTTCTTGTGGTCTTTTATGATGGTTCCTTGTTGGTGTTTTGATTCGATTTTAAACACTTTTTGATGAAATTTTGTGGATAACCATTCTGATTGAAGACCGTTTGTAGGTATTATTCTTGCATTCTTTTCAATTCTGGAGTGCTACAGTGTGTTTGAATTCTTTTAAACAATTTCTGCACACAGTTTCTTTTGTGAGTGAGTAATTGGATTATTGTTAGTATAGTTGAGTATTTGATCTGTGTGCGTTGATTTTCTATATACTTGTGTTTCTAAATTTCCTGTGTTGGTTCTCCTGATTGAGATATCTAAAAATGGGATTTTGTTATCTAATTCTTCTTCGCTTGTGGATTTGATGTCTTCAAATATGTTGTTTATTAATTTGTGGGTGTATTCTAAATCATTTCTCTTAATTATTACAAATTAATACCATTTACAAAATAAGTTGTATGAACTGTAACAAGCATTACATCAGCCAAAGTGGGCATCCCCTTCGAATTAGAATCCAGGAACACAAATCAGCCGTCAAAAGACAATATATATTCTTTAGTATCAATACATATAGACAATTATGGGCATCAGTTTGATAACTGGGATAATGTCGAAATCTTAGACAGAGGAAACACCACCAAAAGCGCAGTCAGGGAATTCCTAGAAGCGGGGTACTCAGACGAATATGCAATTAACAAAAGATGTTAATATAGACCAAATATACCAACTAATAAAAAGTAAATCGTATGACCAGAAAGTTTCAAATCCAAGTCAATAATAAAAATGATCAATACATATGTAAAGATGGTTACCGAGAGACACAATTCTATCACTCATGGAAAATTTAAATCAGTTCACTTTGCACTAAATATTGCGCTGAAGGGGGATGTTGTCCAGCCGGGAGGGGGACGACGAAAGCTCCGCAACTAAACCAACCAGCTCTTCAGAGAACACTACCAATTGCATATATATATATATATATATATATATATATATATATATATAATGTAATTTATTCTATCGCAAAGATGTATTTTATAATCTAATCAAAACAAAGTAGCCTAGTCTTTATTTTAATGTACAGCTAAAATAAAAACTTTAAAGTCTAGCTTACCTATAACGATTGTATGCCTTATCCTTTAATAATTCAATATGACTACGTTTTAAAAGTAGCTTGCCTTTCTCAACAATGACTAAAGGACGACAAATACGCCCAGCATCTGTGTAGATTCGGATTTCTTGATCTCGATAATCTCGAATCATACTGACCTCACTGACGATGACATCAACTTGACGACGAAGTTTCCGCAGAGTACCCATTAAGTGATCCGGTGAACTATGAATGCCTACCCAACATCCGTTGACAAATATCTTGCAGGTCCTAAAATTAAATTTTTTAAATCAGAGAAAAAAGAAAGAAAAATACTTTTGGTAAATATATTGAACTAGAATGAAATATTAAAAGAGAAAAACAAAATCTAAAACAATTTGTGTTCCCTTTATGTGAATTTAAATAAAGCAATTATCTTCACTATTATTGTTCCTTTGGGTTCCCAGTGTGGAACAAAGGCCTTCAAATACACGTCTCCACTTGCTTCTGTCTTCCTTCTGTTGTCTTCTACTTTTCACCTGCATCATCCATTATAGTCCATACTCTTTCAACTCCTCTTCACACCATCTCCTCCTCCATGTCACCCTTCCACTGACGACATACTCACCGCGTGCTTCCTTTTCGAGTTCCACTCGAGAAATGGCCTGACGCGCGCGCGATGTCACCCAGCGGCGGCCTCCTCAGCCACGAGTGTCCAATCCATCTCCATCACTTTCTCCTGCATATTCGTTGTTGTTCAGCGAATGCTTCTTGTTTCGTTTGTTCCCAGTCATAGTTTCTTGTTGTTGGTGATTCTTTCCGGTCCGGCCATCTGATCTTCAGTATTGAGCCAGCGAAGACAGTTAGTTGTTAATAAAGGTAACGTCTGCAACAGGCTGTTGGTGGAAATATTCTTTGTGACCCGCCCGCCAAGTTTCTGATCCGTATAGAAGAGCTGACTGACTGGACATTGTTTGTATTGAAAATCCGACTGAATTTTGTTGTTGATATGACGTTGAGTGACGAAGATTTCCAGATTGCTTTCAGGTTGATTAATGAATGTGTTTCTCGCCTTCCCGATTCTCGCTCGATTTGACATCCTCGTCCGTTCCAACTGTCTGTATGTGAGACAATGCTCCCTAGATAAGTAAGTGAATGAAGTAACCTCTTTTAAATCCCTCCTGTTCATGGCGACATGAGCAATAAGAAGACGTAATTTGTCCCAGTCGTGTGTGTAATGTGCAGATTTGCGTGCAATACACATTTCGAACAATCCGATCCATCACACATATACACACAGACTTGTCATATACACGATATGCAGAATATGTTGAAAGAGAGTTAAGAGGCGGATGGGAAAATAAACTTGACTCGACTTAGATCAAGTTAAAAGGAGGACATATTGAAGGCGTGAAAATAACAATGAAGATGAATGACTAAACCAAATAACAGAGGTAAAAGTAAGTACATCTACCCTGACTGGCTGTTGGCGATCAAAACAAACTTTACCACCAACAAGTAAGGAAGGTAGGTTTAGTTAGTGTGATGACGAATTGGTGCTTTGAACGCATACAGGTGGTTCAAACTTCCTAACTGCCAGCTAGGGCTAGCTTTCACAAACTTTAGGATACGCCCTGCCCCGAACATGCTTTTATAGATAGGCCTTTAAAAGATGTATTGGTTAACGTCAATTTTATGTCCTGTCTCCTCTACAATATGTTTCGCAATAGAGGAGTCAGCTAGGTCTTCGTCTGTTCTCATCATTAATGGGTTCTGAAGATTCTGTTTGTTTCTGGAGTCATTTAGGAATATGCTGTGAAGCCAGCCAGCCCTTACTTGCAGAGATCGATGAGTCTTACGTATGTATGTATGTATGTTCACACGTACATTCCAATTAGTGAATAAAGTGGGATGTGACATCATTCTTCGCATGTTTTAAGGCATTAGACAGATATGTTGCGAAAAAATGATGTTACATCCTCTAACAGTATTCATTGGTTGGAATGTAGGTGTGTCCACACGTACATAGGGAGGACTCATCGATCTCTGCAAGTAAGGGCTGGTTGGCTTCACAGCATATTCCTAAATGACTCCAGAAACAAACAGAATCTTCAGAACCCATTAATGATGAGAACAGACGAAGACCTAGCTGACTCCTCTATTGCGAAACATATTGTAGAGGAGACAGGACATAAAATTGACGTTAACCAATACATCATTTAAACCTACCTGTCTATAAAAGTGTGTTTGGGGCAGGGCGTATCCTAAAGTTTGTGGATGTCCTAGCTTGCGTTCAAATCAGCAATTCGTCATCACACTAACTGAACCTACCTTCCTTACTTGTTGGTGGTAAACTTTGTTTTGATCGTCAACAGCCAGTCAGGGTAGATGTACTATGCTATCTCTGTTATTTGGTTTAGTCATTCATCTTCATTGTTATTTTCACGCCTTCAATATGTCCCCCTTTTAACTTGACCTAAGACGTCAAGTCAAGTAGTCTGTTTTCTCACCCACCTCATAACTCTCTTTATTATTTCCACATATTCCGTATATTCCAATGACAAGTTCGTGTGTGACCAGTTTGTTCGAAATGTGTGTTTCGCGCATATATGCACATTACACACACGATTCAGACAGACAAATTACGTCTTCTTATTGCTTTATCTGGAAAAAAGCAAATCGCTTCAAGGTATCTCATTCAATTTAGGATAATACAAATTTATCACGTAGATATCTCACTTACTTCCCAATAGCTGAAGGTGCAATCTCCTCTAAATTCTCCATACTCCATTCTTCTAAGAATTCCAGAATAGGCGATGGTTGACTCCCCACAGATATATACGCCATAAGAGCAAGATTTTTTACCAGCCCGACAGCATGTCCTTCAGGCGTTTCAGCTGGACATATCATACCCCACAAAGTGTTATGCAATTGTCTAGGCCTTGCCAACTTTCCATCTCTCCCGATAGGTGAATTCAGCCGTCTCAAGTGAGACAATGTCGACGCGAATGTTAATCGATTAAGCACCTAAAGCATAAGACAAATATAAGAATAAAAGTTGTGCACTGTGGTGATAGAGTATAATTCTATTATGGGTAAATTTAGTTTTGATAAAGTCTCACAGTGTTGCTATACAGTCAATGTTTACTGGTGACCACGTTTCGAGAACAACTTATTGCTCCTCATAATCATATCAAGGTGATCACACGACTTCCTAAATTCATTTATATAGTTCCATTATTTTTCATTTGATTTTCACTTGATTTGATTGGTAGTAGTATTTTCCAGATTTCGGGTATAAGTGATGCTTCTTTTTTATTGCATGTGTTGGGTGTAGACTCGATGAACAAGGATTCAGTAATCAACCTCTCTCTCTATCTCCACCTACCTAGATTACTTTTTAGAATTTTAATCCTCACGATATTGTGTGGTCGTGCATGCAGTGCAATAAAGTGCTGAGTTGTTTTTCAAACTACTCATGTTCTCGGGTAGGGTCAACCATTCTTACCTTAGCTAAATTCTTATGTTCCGACAATCTGATTACCCCCGACCTATTAGTTTGACATATGTAATTGACCTAACTCACAGCCATTGTAGGGTATTTTGTAAAATTATATTATTTTGTTTAATTGGGTCCACCGGGTCTTTTTGCCTACAGAGCTTGTCCTACCTGAGTGAGTTTTTAGGTTTAAATGCCACCACCAGCCTAATTGCTGCTTTATTAAGAATCCTACGTAGAGAGTGTATCAGATGTCCCCTCTTTATATGGTATAACTGTAGATGACTTATATTCTCTCTTATTTATGTTATTATTACTAGTTTCAGAAAAAGAAAAAGAACTGTGAAACCCGAAATATGGAAAATACCACTACTGCCAATCAAATCAAATGAAAAACAATGGAACTATATAAATGAAGTTAAGAAGTCGTGTGATCACCTTGATATGATTAAGAGGAGCAATAAATTGTGATCGAAACGTGGTCATCATTACTGTATAACAACACTGTGAGACTTTATCAAAACAAAATTTACCCATAATGGAACATAAGAGAAATAAATATATTTAATGTGCATAATCCTAACCTACCTGTGAAACACCTGGACGTGCTTGATTCGCCTTTTTTTGATCACCCCAATTCCCTGTGGCCAGCGAATACTTCAGCCCATCAGTGATAATTTGACTGCGTATAGCAAGTTCCAAATTGAAATCTTTCCCCTTGTCTATAAACTTTTGAGCATACAAACGAATCTCCTTGGTAAGATTTCGAAACAGTCCACGAAAGAGAAAGGCAAGCAAGGGTCCCGCCAAATCTAATCGTTTATTGCCATAATGATCCCGATCGTCAACATCACGACGTTTTAGCGCAGCCAACAGGAGGCGATGTACCATGTAACCAAGAAAGTATGCCTTTCGAGTTTCACAAAAATCAGAAACACCGACATGTGGTAAAGTTTCTTTCTGTAGGATTTCTTTGGCATATTTTATTCGCTTTTCTTTCGTGACGCCAGGACGAGCACCACGTGAACCAATAAAATTAAGGGCAACTTTCTGCTCCTAAGAAGAATATCAGAAAAATTAGTTGGATGAAAGAAGAAAGTGTCACACTTACTTGAATCACAAAGGCATCGTCCAGTGATGGTTTAATCATTTCACGCATCTCCGTATCATCAAAATCATAGATGATATGCTCTAAGATGTCACGATCTGCCACAAAACCTAATGCACGGAAAACAATTAAGACAGGAATCTCTTGTTTTATATAGGGTAGAATAGCTACAATTCTTTGACCGATAGTAGCCCGCTTGCTCCCGTCTTTGCCGCCACGTGCCATCATATTAATCCATAGGGTGCTAGCAGGTCGTGAACTATGCTCAAGACACGATCGAATCTCTGTTTTGTAGGCATATTTACTATCTTTTTGTCGGAAAACATACACTGGAAGAAGAAATAAGGGGAAAAAATAGACATACATACAAGTGAGTATTAATAAATGTGTAAAATTTGGGCACTGTGGTAGTAAGTAATTCCATATCTAACATCGTTAACCACAGCGCTTTGGAGCACTGTAGTTAATGTTGTTAGATGCTTACACTCTACGCTAGCTAAACTACCTTTTGAATGACCCTATACACTTTCACAAGCGTCTTTTCGGGTTGTTAATTGGTGGGTCATCTGCCCTGTTCACTTACTCTCGTATAACCCCCATTGTGCTTGGCAGAATTCTGTTAAGTCGGTGATGCACGTCTGCAGCTAGATACCGCCTCTGATATTACTGTTATATCAGAGAAACTTTGGAATAATATTGGTAGACCACCAATCGTAAATACTTCTCAGATTGCTGTCAGCGCCTGTGGTGGGCGGCTCAAACTAATTCGTGAACTCAAATGTTCTGTTTCCTTCCGCAATACCAAATTCACAGGAATTTGCTACGCCACCAAGAGTGATTTAAATCTTTTGGGACTTGATTGGTTCGATCGTTTGCATCTGGCTGATGTCCCGCTAAATTCTCTATGCAATGCAGTCAAGAAGCATAAAATGTCAGACAATTCCGGACGAAGCCGAAGCCGCAAACCCAACACGCAGACGAAACGACAGACGTCAACAACAAGCTCAAAGGTTCCAGATAAACCCCCAGGTAAACATCCTACTAATCATCCATCTTCTCAAAAGGGGAGGTGATATGTATCCACACATATATATATATATATATTTATGTGTGTGTGTATGTTGGTCTCTCTTTCTGTTTGCTCGCTTAGTCTGTGACCATTTCACTTGTGTGAACTTGTCTCCTTCGATAATGTGTATTCTCCTTATATTATATTATATATAATATGAGTGTTTGTTGACAGTCCGTTGCTTGGTGACATATATCCATACATGGTGATTGTTGACATGTCTGTTATATTTCGCTATGTATATGTGGATCGATACTTCATTATAATTAGCCATTCATGTTAAGACTGTCTAATGATTGTTCACACCCTTGTCATATATATTTCGCTCACACAATTTGTGTGAACTACTTTACTTACTTATCACTTTGGTGTGAGACCATTTATTTTCGTCTCCTTGTGTTTGGACAATAGAAGTATCATCGCAAACCTAGTGGTCTTCTGATTTCCGCCTTCTTGCGTCAGGACTATTAATTTCTCGACCAGACCATAACAATAATTTAGTGACGACTACATAACAGTCGGTGAGTGACTTTGCAAGTTTAATTGCCAGTGCTGAAAGCTGATTAATAACTTATTCAACCATCAGCCCCAACGGGTTGATCTCTGACGAAACCTCAGAAGACTAGGGATACAGAGGACTATACCAGTTTACGCCGTCTCTGGCTTAGTAGACGTGATATCCGACTGGTCGGCTGGCTGTCTACCAAAGAGCGTTTGTAGTGCTCATCAGTCCGCTCCGTCTTCCTTTATGGCTGTGAGACCTGGCCATTGAGAGTGCAAGACATGAAAAGCCTGGCTAGCTGTTTTCGATCATAGGTGCCTGCCTTCTATCTCCCATGTGAGATGGTATAATAGGGTGAGCAATATTGAGGTGACGCATCGGTCGAGTGCTAAGTAAGTGGAAGGGAAAATGAATCCATGAGACTGTAAAATTACATCAACTGAGATGGTTAGGACATGTGTTACGTATGCCCAGTCATCGCCTTCATCGACAATGGGCAATGTTAGCTGACATAGGGTTGGTCAGGCTGGAAAAGAGCTAGCGGCCGTCAAACCAAAACATGGCTTCACCAGTCAATGAAATCCACAAAAGTCAGTTTAATCCAGCGAGCCAGCCACGTAGGAAGGTGTAGACTGGGTTCTCGACTGGTTGGCGTCGGGACGGTACACACCAATGGAGGCTGGAGACAATCGGTGATGACATGGCTCAAAGCGATTGTTCTCAATACATTACGCAGATGCATCCACTCCTCGTGACTTATAATACCCAATGAAACTAGATTGTTCTTCGTTATTACCATTCCTTTGTCTCACACCTCTGTTTACTGTCTGTCTATTATGCATTTCTTCTACTTTCTTCTGTTGGTTTGTGTGCCACACGGGGTGAAGTGTGGCGACTTGAACTGCCACACATATGTGCAAAGTTCTATGTCGAAAACAGACAGACAGAAATTTGTTTGTTTATTAGATATATCACACGCAGTAAGTGAGTGAAACAGTATTAGTTATTTACTGGATGACAAATTTTCGAACACAATTCATTATTGCTATTCATAATCATACACATCACCAATTATAATCACACGACTTTGAAACTTATAATCTAGATTTTGCTGCTAGGTTTTTATGCTTCTTGGCTAGTCTGACTGAATCAGTGACCCTATTCTACTACTTTGACCTATGTATTTGACCTGAAAATCATCTCACATAGGGTATTAGATAGACTTAATTCTTTTGTTTTAAAGGCTCCACAGGATTGATGGTTTAACTGACAGAGCTTGTTTCTCATTGAGTTTGTGGTTGGTTTGAATACCAACCACTTTTATTCCTGCCCGCCTTGTTAAGAATTCTGCGTAAGGTGGTTTCCGAGGTTCCTTCCTTGTATGGAATTACTGATGATTTAGATTCCTTATTGTTGGTGTCGTCATCATCTAATCGAACAGGAAGCTTTGTTTATCGAATCAACTGCAAATCAACACTTGTAACAGGAATGATTCAACACCTGTACACCCAGATATATCTGGAAAATTCTGCTACCACGCCCACGGCGACAAATAGAAGAGAAAAAAGAAGACTATAAAACTTAGGTTTCAAAGTCGTGTGATTATAACTGGTGATGTGTATGATTATGAATAGCAATAATGAATTGTGTTCGAAAATTTGTCATCCAGTAAATAACTAATACTGTTTCACTCACTGACTGACTGACTGTGTGTGATATATCCATCTAATAAAAACAAACTAATAATATGGAAATTACAAGTGAGTGATATTGCCTGACAAACAAACCTGTATTAGTAGCCATTTTCTCTTGGGCTATCAAAACTTTCTCCGATCCATTAATGATGAAATAACCTCCAGGATCTAATGGACACTCGTTTAATTCAGCCAGATCACGATCACTCATCACTGACAGAAGACAATACGTAGATCTACAACAGATAAAGACGATGACAGAATAACTAACATACCTCAGCATAATCGGTATTTTCCCAATAAACTTTTTCTCTAACGGTTTTTCTTCAACCGCAGAATCCCTTATGATTCTTTTCATCACATCGACGTAAAGTGGTGCCGCATACGTGAGATTTCTCAGTCTTGCATCGTTGGGCGTCATCGGTACTGAAGAGCCGTCTTTTTCCCAGTGAGTAGCTTTACTTAGATAGATCTGCTCGAATTTTAAACGATATTGAACCTGTGAAGGAAAAGGATTAAAACAATAATAATAATAATAATAATAATAATAATAATAATTTACTTTATTCCCAAAACAGTACTTATGATACAGAATGGAATTTTCAGCATAAATCACAATATTGTTGCATTTAATTTCCTCAAATTATAAATAAAATTAATCACACAGAAAATTTTCCACATTTACAATAGGGGTGGGTAATGTCGAAAACATGGAGGATATAAAATGGAAATAACAATAATAACAGCTAAGGTCTGTCTCTGTCTGGATTCAAAATAGAACTTGGCACCGAAGTGTACCAGTTCGAGTTGCCACGTTCCAAATAGCACACAGAGGTAGACAATATGAGTGAAGACAATCAACAGAGTTTGACAAGTATAAGAGTGAAACAGAATGGGTAATGGTAGAAAGGAATGTGAAAGATTACAGAGACTGAATACATCTGCGCTGGCCATTGACAACGATTTTGAGCCATGCCACCTATTGTCTCCAGCCATTGATTCCTAGAGTCCCAAGAGCCCCAACCCGGAAGTCTGCATCTCCCTACCTGACTCAGTTTAACTGTCAAGGATTTCATGGATTGATGAGGCCATGTTTTTCTTTGGCCACCACTTACTCTTTTCCAACCTGCACCTATATCAGCTAGTAATGCCCGTCGTGGGAGGCGATGGTTACGCATGCGCGTTAGGCACGTGACCTAGCCATCTCAATCTATGTAACTTTATAGCCTCGTCGATTGATTTTCCCTGTTTGCCCAACACTCTATGCCTAACGTCAACATTACTTACCTTATTATACCACCAAACGTGAGAAAGAGATCGTAGACATCTATGATCAAAAACAGTCAACCTTTTCCTGTCTTCAGCTCGTATTGGCCATGTTTCAGAGCCATAGAGAAGGACGGAGCGAACTGCTGAGCAGTAGACACGCCCCTTGGTTGATAGCCGGATGTCACGCCTACGCCAGAGATGGCGTAAGTTAGCCAAAGCAGCTCGAGCTTTTTGGATCCGTGCTAAGATTTCGTCGCCAATCAGTCCGTTGGTGCTAATACAACTTCCCAAACAGCTGAAGTGGTCAACATGTTCTATCACTTCACTCCCTATCACTAAGCTAGGAGTTGACGTCTGTCTGTTTTCGACATAGAACTTTGCACCAATGTGCACCAGTTCAAGTCGCCACACTCCCTCCTTGTACCACACAAAGCAAGAGAAGAGAGCAAAAGAAATGCATAATAGAGACAGTAAACAGAGGTGTAAGACAAAGGAATGGTAAAACGAAGAACAATATAGTTCCATTGGAAATCATAAGTCATAAGGAGTGGATGCATCTGCGCGATTGAGAACGATTTTGAGCCATATCACCAATTGTTTCCGACCTTCATTGTTTTTTACCGTCCTAATGACCCCAACCAGGAATGTACACCTTCCTAAGTGGCTCAGACTAACTTTTGTCGATTTCATTGACTGGTGAAGCCATGTTTTGGTTTGACCGCCGCTAGCTCTTTTCCAGCCTGACCCTATGTCAGCTAACATTGCCCATTGTCGAGGAAAGCGATGACTAGTCTCAGTCGATGTAACTTCACAACCTCGTCGATTGACTTCCCCTCCTCCATACCTAGCACTCGACCGACGCCTAACCTCAATATTGTTCACCACTTCACACGGGAGATAGAACGCAGGCATCTATGATCAAAGACAGTCAGCCAGGCTTTTCACGTCTTCCACTCTCAATGGCCAGGTCTCACAGTCATAAAGGAGGACGGAGCGGACTGATGGGCAGTACACCCGCCCTTTGGTCGATAGTCGAATATCTCGTCTACGCCAGACATGGCGTAAACTGGCGGGCGTATGGGAAACTAGCCCTCTGTATCCGTACTCAGCTGAGATTTCGTCAGAGATCGACGCGTTGGCACTGGCGGGTTGATGGTACTTCCCAAATAAGTGAAGCGGTCAACGTGCTCTACCACTTCATTCCCTATTTCTAATCTAGGAGTAGGTGTGGTCCAGTCCTGTAACATCATATTGCGTTTGGCGGGAGCGAATTGCATTCCAAACATTTGTAGATTGCAGCTCATGGTGTTCAGAAGACCGTGTCTGCATTTTGTCAGCGTCCTCGCCTAGTAGGACTTTATCATCTGCATATTCCAAGTCAACGAGATTATTCCCCGGTAGCAAGTCAATCCCTGAGTCGCTGAAGTCACTTAGGGTTAAGTCCATTAACACATCTATGATGAAGTTGAATAGAAAAGGTGATAATGGGCATCCTTGACGGACACCACTAGTCGTCACCACTTCAGATGACAACTCGCCGTAAGCCCTCACCTGGCTGCATTAGTACGAGTAGAGTGCCTTAACCAGTGCAATGTATTTTTTCGGAATTCCCTTTACAGCCAAGCATCGCCAGAGAACTTCTCGGTCGACAGAATCGAATGCCGCCTTTAGGTCAAGAAATACAATGATTGTTGGACGCCGGTAGGAATGCCTATGTTATAGAACCTGTCGGAGGGTGAAGATATGATCAATACACTGTCTTCCTGGTCTAAAACCTGCCTGCCTCTCTCGTGTTTGTGTCTCCCGAGCACCACTTTGTCTACGCATGATTATTGAGCCTAAGACTTTAGATACTATATTAGTCAAGCTAATCCCTCTGTGATTATCACAGGAAGACTTGTCTCCCTTCTTGTATATGGGGATAAACAGTGACTTACACCAACCCGATGGGACTTCCTCTGAGTTGACGTATTCCAGTCCTGTAGCAGCATCTTACATTTTACAGGTATTAATCATACAAGTGAAAATTGCCGTGGGCTTGTTTCACACAGTATTGTCGATGCGGTATAGAAATCCTAGCATGTTTAAAAAAATTTTGAATATAATGTTCTCTTTACATGATGATGTGGTGAGGGGAAAAACAAAGATTATAGCAGTCATAGAGATAAGTTGGTGTTTGCAATTATGAAAGCAAAATAAACAAAGAAGCAACAGGACAATAAATATAACAGAAATAATAAAAGTAAAACTTGAAGGTATATAAGGATGGATGGATGGAGGAAATTTTTTGTTTACTTGATGAAAAAAGGTTAGTTAGTTCTTGCCTGACACTATCTTCCCTATCACATAAAATACGTGCCAAGTATGGTGTCATAGAATTTTTATACTTAGACGTGCGAGCATACAGTTTTATGAAGTTACTTCTTGTTCCGCCCGACGAAATGCAATGTGAAAGCTGAGGGTGCTGTGGTGGATGCTCCAAGTCAGACAAAATCCCTTCAGCAAATTTACTGCACGAAGTCAGGTGCCTATCGACAACGACGTTAACTATGTGGTCCACTGGGACACCACTTGCCCTACTGACTGACAGTCTTCAGCATTCTACGAATTGTGATATAGTCCTTTTTAAGCAAACCAGGAAAGAATAAGCAAGGGTGAACAATAAAGGAGAATAGGTGGGATGCAGGAGTTTATGAACTGTAAGAGGAGGAGTTGAGTTATACCCGAGTCCCTTAACTTCTTAATGTAAAATGTTAGGCGGAATATTTTTTACTGGGGATCGCTAAGACATGGGAAGACCAGGAGAGATCAGAGGAGAGAATAGGTCCAAGATACTCTTAATTTATGATTTAATTCCTATATGCGAGAGATATAACAATAAAAAGGAAAACGACATACGGGAGTCTCGAGAATTCCCCCGGTATGTTGAGCTTCTGCTTGTAATTCAATAATAGGCGAGTCTTCAACAATTTTTTGAATTGATGTTTGAATAAATTCATCAAAGGAGTCCAACTGCTGTCTGACTAACCCCTTTTCATCGAAATAACTGCTGATCACAATCCAACAGGCTTCTTGCCACATATCCGGAGTGATTTCATCGTCTTCATTGCATTGTTCCTCGCCGTAAAACTGATTTTCTGGATCGTCCTCCTCTTCAAAATCCTCTAAATCACCCTCAACATAAAATGGATCTATAAAAATTTGATGAAAAAAAAGGGAATTTAATTACTTCTTTAGAAAAAGTTAAACCTCAAAAGGATATCGAAGAATGTCTTGATGAGGAACTTAATAATAATATTAAACGGTTGGTTGGTGAGTAAAAATGGTTAACCAGAAAAATTTATTGATAAAAAGATGAATCTAGATAAAATCAAAACAGACCAAGGTACACCAACAGTTCCGAGGCAAAGGAAGGCTTTATTCTTACAAGTGCAGTGAGTTTCTTGGGGACAACATCAGCGAGATACTAACACAGTGCCTTAGAAATGAGGCGGTGAAAAGAGCATTCAGTGCTGCTTCCGAATTACACTGTGTCTTCAAAACCATCCAACCCTCTTTTGCGTTCGTTCGGGAATAAAAGACAAACTGTCTAATTTCGCCTCTTCAATGTGTGTGTGTATCTACCAATTGAACTGCTCCTGTGAAGTGAGCCAGTCAGTTACTTGCATAGGCCGTGCACAATTAGGCGTCTTCCTCGTCGAATTTCCGAACATCACCTCACCATGCACAGTAGTTCGTTGGTTAAGTAAAGGACAAACAAAATCTATTCTCAGTACTATTCTATCTATCTAACTCATCTTGCGGTTACACAACAACACAAGACTAATTGATGTTAACAAGGCGGCGGCTTTCAGAGTCATTTGCCTACCGCATACCAAACAACGAATCTCAATTTCGCCTTAAGAGTAGTTCGACTACTAAATATTGCTGAGGCTGGCTGGCTGGCTGGTCGTTGGGATCCAGATTAACAAGCCTAATTTGTGCATCCAAAACAAGTTGGTTGGTTCAGACATTATCCTTACCCGCTTGTTGTCCATCCATCCAGGTTTGAATGATTTTGAATCTTTGGGGAATCTCCCCTTAATTTTAATTGATATTCTATTTCCTACTATATCTTTATTATTATGATTATTATTATAATTTAAGCATCTTTAATGAACTGCGGTGGTGATTCCATTGTGATCTTACTTTACAAATCCATATTATTTAACAAACACGCCGATATTGTTATTGACTACTAATCTGGAATATTCTATGTATATAAAAGTGCATATATGCATGTAATTGTACAGCAAAAGGGGAGGAGGAATTTGTCGAAAAGGATATTCTTTTCTGGATCAATTATTTTGTGGTTTCTAGATGTCTGGATGAATATTTTTTTGCTATATCGATTAGGTGTTACTGAAACAAACTTAGTGTTATTTATCTACTTTGCAAGAGTTTGGAATTTAAAGGGGACTCTCTTAGCTTCCGATATCATGAAACGAAGGATATCACAGTCCTTGAAAAGAACATTCCCTGCCGCATCTCTGAGAATAGCCTTTACTAGTCGACCATTACTGTTATTCAATAACCTGAAGGACAAGATCCCTCTGTTGACCAACTCTATGTTGTTTATCAATTCACCTGCTCGTGTGGAGCTATGTATATCGGTCGTTCGACTCGAGTTTTGTACAAGAGGGTGCCAGAACACTATTCTCTGCATGCTACCTACGAAGACGTGGAGGTGGATCGAGCAATAAGAAGTGCGATCATTGAACATCTGGTCGATAATGATCACCCTATCCCTATAGCCTCCGCCTTTAATGTCATCTTAGTCATCTGCAAGGTAAAAAGTAATTTACCCAAACCACTACGTACGCGACTCATCTGTATTGTTGAAGCTATCTTTGGCTATCGAAACAGAAAAGCCAGAGCCCTGAGTACAGAAAAAGTTCGTTCAACCGCCCCCCAACTTTCATGGTCTTAATCCCTGTATGCTACAGTATGGTAATCCCCAGTCATATTTTCGCTCTACCAATTTTTCATTCTTCCTTTATTAAGTCAATTGTTACTATTACTACTACTACTATTCTCACTCTGAACTGTCCCCGGTATTATTTTACCTGTTCCGCTTGTCATTCTAAATCAATTCTTCTTTTTTACAACGTTAAATTTTATGCTATCAAATTTCACACAATATTACGTAACGTTTTTATCTAAGACACTGTCTAACTAGGCAACTAATACATTTCACAGTGACTAGCTATAAAGTGGCCCACGTATGAATACAATTTGCATGTATAATAAATCACTGCAGCGCGATGACTGCTACAACTGGTACAGCATGTTGACCACCTCACTTATTTGGGAAGTACCATCAACCCGCCAGTGCCAACGCGTCGATCTCTGACGAAATCTCAGCTGAGTACGGATACAGAGGGCTAGTTTCCCATACGCCCGCCAGTTTACGCCATGTCTGGCGTAGACGAGATATTCGACTATCGACCAAAGGGCGGGTGTACTGCCCATCAGTCCGCTCCGTCCTCCTTTATGACTGTGAGACCTGGCCATTGAGAGTGGAAGACGTGAAAAGCCTGGCTGACTGTCTTTGATCATAGATGCCTGCGTTCTATCTCCCGTGTGAAGTGGTGAACAATATTGAGGTTAGGCGTCGGTCGAGTGCTAGGTATGGAGGAGGGGAAGTCAATCGACGAGGTTGTGAAGTTACATCGACTGAGACTAGTCATCGCTTTCCTCGACAATGGGCAATGTTAGCTGACATAGGGTCAGGCTGGAAAAGAGCTAGCGGCGGTCAAACCAAAACATGGCTTCACCAGTCAATGAAATCGACAAAAGTTAGTCTGAGCCACTTAGGAAGGTGTACATTCCTGGTTGGGGTCATTAGGACGGTAAAAAACAATGAAGGTCGGAAACAATTGGTGATATGGCTCAAAATCGTTCTCAATCGCGCAGATGCATCCACTCCTTATGACTTATGATTTCCAATGGAACTATATTGTTCTTCGTTTTACCATTCCTTTGTCTTACACCTCTGTTTACTGTCTCTATTATGCATTTCTTTTGCTCTCTTCTCTTGCTTTGTGTGGTACAAGGAGGGAGTGTGGCGACTTGAACTGGTGCACATTGGTGCAAAGTTCTATGTCGAAAACAGACAGACGTCAACTCCTAGCTTAGTGATAGGGAGTGAAGTGATAGAACATGTTGACCACTTCAGCTGTTTGGGAAGTTGTATTAGCACCAACGGACTGAGAGAGTACATCCACATTTAAATGACACCTAAAAATATATTGGGAAAAAATGATAGATGAGAGTGACATGTATTATGCTTCAACCATCTGTCTGCATGTCTGTTTTAGACATAGAACTTTGCACCAATGTGCACCAGTTCAAGTCGCCACACTCCCTCCTTGTACCACACAAAGCAAGAGAAAGTACAAAAAGGCATAATAGAGACAGTAAACAGAGGTGTAAGACAAAGGAAGAGTAATAACGAAGAACAAAACAGTTTCATTGGAAATCATAAATCACAAGGAGTGGATGCATCTGCGCCACTGAAAACGATTTCCAGCCATGTCACCAATTGTTTCCAACCATTTGTTTTTACCGTCCCGAGGACCCCAACCAGGAAATCTACACCTTCCTACATGGCTTAGACTAACTGTTGTCGATTTCATTGACTGGTGAAGCCATGTTTTGGTTTGACCTCCGCCAGCTTTTTTCCAGCCTGACCCTATATCCGCTAACATTGCTCGTCGAGGAAGGCGATGACTAGTCATGCATGAGTAACACATGTCCTAACCATTTCAGTCTTTGTAACTTCACAACCTCGTCGATTGATTTCCCCTGTTTACCTAGTACTCGATGCTTAACCTCAATGTTGCTCACCTTATTATGCCACTTCACACGGGAGATAGAACGCAGGTATCTATGATCAAAGACAACTAATCTTTTCATGTCTTCCACTCTCAGTGGCCAGGTCTCACAGTCATAAAGGAGGACGGAGCGGACAGATGAGTAGTACGCCCGCCCTTTGGTAGATAGTCGAATATCCTGTCTACGCCAGAGACGGCGTAAACTGGCAAATGCGAAACGAGCCCACCCCCTTGCTTCAACCATACTATATTAGAGCGGATGGTGCATGAAGCAAAATACAAACAAAAGAGCTGTTAAAAACTGCTTCATATATTATGTGTAAACGGCAAGATATAACCGTTATTACTACTTTATGCTTCCTATAGTTTGGTTTGTAAGGATTAGTTTTGTTTTCACGAGTTGATCATGGATGGATGTGAGTTAGAGAACCATTAAAAACCAGCCACAGGGAGTACTGGACAGCCAGCTGTTTTATCCTAATTTGGGAATCATAACCAGTACACACCCACCACAGTGGGTTTCGAACCCACGACCTTCTGGTTACAAGGCAAGCTAGCTCGTATACCATTCAGCCACTGGGACCCACCCGATTCAATGGCTAGTGCATGAATTCTAACTTCTACCAATTCGTGATTTAGCGCGACCCCAACCATTGTTGTTGGTGGGACATCCATCCACACACATGACATCTAATTGGACCTCACTGGTCACGACCTCTCACTAGAACTCAGGAAACTCCAACCTGTAGCAAGTCACTGTGAGCATCAGATTAATTCTCTATAGTTTGGTTTGTAAGGGTTAGTTATGTTTCTACGAGTTGATCACGGATTGATATCAGTTAGAGAACCATTGAAAACCAGGGAGTACTGGACACCTGCTGTTTCATCCTAGTTTGGGAATCATCGGTAGTACGCATCCACTGGGGTTCGAACCCAGGACCTTCCGGTTACAAGGCAAGCTCGTTTCTTGGATTCAGTCCTAGTGAAATGTCGTTATTAGTGAGATACATCCAGATGTCACGTGTGACGATCGATGTCCCACCGACAACACTGTTTGGTGCCAGTCACGCTAAATCACGAATTGGTAGAAGTTAGAATTCATGCACTGGCCACTGAATCGGGTGGGTCCCAGTGGCTGAATGGTATACGAGCCAGCCAGCTTACCTTGTAACCGAAATGTCCTAGGTTCGAACGCCGATGCAGTGGGTGCGTACTTCTGATGATTACCAAAGTAGGAGGGATGGAACAGCTGTCTAGTACTCCCTTTGGCTGGTTTTCAATGGTTCTCTAGCTGATATCAATGCATGATCAACTCGCAAAAACAAAAATAACCCTAACAAACCAAACTATAGGAAAAAATCTTATTTTGGCTGTTACATTAAAGCCAACAGCGAAAGACGTGACCGATTTTACGAAGGTATAGTGAAATTAATATCCAATATCCTGATTACGAGCTAGTATAAACCAGTGATTTCTTTGAGCTCGCTTCTTGATTGTGAGGTAAAGGTTCCAGATCTTCGGTGAGCTTCTGCGTAGTAAGTCCCGACACTCGACTGCTTTAGCTCTGGTAGACTCCAGGAGGAGTGGTGCGGGGATTGGTCGAGATGTGGTTTGTAGTATGCAGTATGTTAGGACTGTATTGCTGCCGTGAATGGAGTTTGACCTAACTCCCGTTGGTCATTCGGTGTAGTCATAAAAGCAGAATAGTAATAATAATAATAATAATAGGTTGTAGTGTAGATAATATAGGTTGAGATAAGTGGAATAATAAAGGTAACCTAAGGAAAAGATAGAGTGAGAGAAGGCAGAATAGGTCGTGGATTCACATTATTTCCGATCGGATAAGTTCATGTTAACTTTCCCAAGGCTCAGTAATGTGGGGAAAAAGTCAAATAGATCGAGGTTAATTTCTAAGTGAACAGTGACCAAAGAACAGATCCCAGCTCATCAACCTGGATCTACTGGTGTCGAATTCACTATTCATAAGCTAACTTACGAATAGTCCCATTGGGTACAACCATTTGACAAGCGGTAGTCACATAAAAAATTATTCAAAATGATTGTTTAATGTAATGTCATACTCCTTGGATAAAGCCACACACGTACCTGCCATCCGTTCACACAGTACCAGCCACAGCCAACACCGTATTTGCTGGGAAAGTCAGCGTTGTTCAAGGTCACCTGGCAATTGCGCCACAAGATTTCAGATTTATTGGTTGAAGATAGAAGGCTTGGAGCCTATGTTAATCCTTTTCTAGTAAATTTCTGTAGTTTTCCAAACTCTTCTTGAATGAATCAGTTGAGACCAGACAACACCACTTCTTCTGGGAGTCAGTTCTAAGAGTTTGTGACTCGGTGTGAGAATCAGTACTCAACAGCAATATGATTTCTTGGCTTTTGAACTCTCTCCTACTATATCCTCTAAGGTGTTCCGACCACTTGGTGGGAAGGAAAAGAGAGAATAGGGCAAGTCCGTAGTCATTATTTAAGATTTTGAACGTGATTAAATCTGCTGTCTGCCTACGGTATGAGAGGGAGAAGAGATTTAATCTGTCTAGTCTTTCATCGTATCATAAGATAGTCATGCCGTGAACCATACGTGTTGCCTTCCTTTGAACCCTTTCTGGAATGTGAGTCTCCTTTTAGACAAGGACCGGCGGCCTGGACGCAGTTTTCCAGTCTTGACCTCACCAAAGATGTATATATGGAGGTGAACATATCTCTGGTGATTCTGGTGAAGGCTCTGCGAATTGCCCATAAGGACCTGAAACTACGTCCAGCCACCGCGCGACAGTGTCCTGTAGTTTTTATGTTGTGGCTAACTATGACGCCTAAGTCCAAGTGAGTCTGAACTGATGGAAGTGTTATTCCCTCTAGTTCGTATGAGCTCGTGCTTGCTTGTCCAATGCGCATGGTTGCACATTTTGCCACATTTATCGGGAGCATCCATTCTGTGGACCACTCTGACAATTTGCTGAGATCCTCCTGCAACCTAGACTTGTCACTGTTGCCCTTCAGCTCTCTCCAAATTCTTAATCATCTGCGTGTAAGACCATAGGGGAGTCGGTGAGCAGAAATAACTCATTAATATACAAAATAAATAGGAGAGGTCCCAGTACCGTGCCTTGTGGCACTCCGCTACGTAATGCTGTCTCAGAGGAGAGTTTCGAGTTGATCCTAACCCTCTGCCTCCTATCTATGAGGAATTCCCTGAGCCAGTTAAGTAAGCTACCACTGATACCAATACTTTCCAACGTCATGAGTAGTCTTTTGTGAGGTACTCTATCAAAAGCTTTGCTGAAGTCTTTGAAGACGACGTCAACGGGTCTTCTGTTGTCCCTCGATTTGACCCAGCTTTCTCTTGCAGTGAGAAGGTTTCATAGGCATGAGAGGTTCCTTTGGAAGCCATGCTGTGCTCTAGATAACAAGCTGCTATTTTCCAGATATGCTATGATGCTTTTCTTGATGATTCTTTCCAGTGTCCTGATTAAAGTGCTGGTGAGACTGATAGGCCTGTAATTTGAAGGGCTTTGTCTTGATCCTCCTTTGTAGATGTGGGTTACTATGGGGTCTTTCCAGTCACGCGGTAACACTCCATTTAGGAGAGATAGCTTGAAGATCGTGGTCAAAGGGCCGGCTATGTGGGCTGATAGCTCCTTGAGAAGCCTTGGATGAAAATTATCAGGACCCATTGATATCCCTGCATCTAGTTTCATTAAGCCGTTGAACACGATGTATATTGACACTAGAAAGTTGAGAATCATCTTAATCTTCCTATAACACTAAAGTTAGATTAGAATTTCATGATTTTGAGAGCAGCTTTATTTCCTCTGTAAGGCGAAGATGAAGTTTGGAAGCCACCAAAAGACGTCGAACAGAACGCCATATCATCAAACAATAGTGCAGTGTGGTTGTGGCTTAAAAAGCACTCTGTCAATCTGGTTTACCTATGCTGAACGTTGGGTAAGATTAGAGTAACGTATCAGAGAATGGAATAAAATTAAAGTTCGGACCTAGGCCCAGGAGCAGGGATTAGGGAAACAGATAATTGCCTAAGTGGTCCGACCAGTTAAATATACGTTTTATTAGAAACCCGTGGGTTTTAACAAGCCTTTGTTTAGCTTGTGTCCTCAAGGTGCCCAGTATAGTGTGTCTTCACCCAATCACAAACACTATGTTTGAAAATACAATAACCCAAATTTTCCCATTTTAGCTTAAGTCTTTGATTTCAGTCAGAAGAACATGAGTCAGCGATTCTTACTTTTCCACAGTATGCTACACGAATGAATCGGTCACACTTCTTGAGCTCAGCAAGTCTGTGACAAGTGCCACTATAAGAAAGAAAACTGCCGTGTTGGCCGAAAGTAATAAGGCATCAAACGTGGGATTATTCTTCTAGGCGATCTGGCCCACGACTTATGCGTTAGGTCGGATACCACCTACGACACGCGACAGCAGTGGAAGAATAATTCAGTGTCACACCATACACACCGCTGAACACCATGTGTAGTTTTTCAATGGATGACATCTTGCACGCAAAAAAATAACTGTCAGACAGCACAGTGCTTCCAATCATCAAATAATTTCACATTGGAAGAGCAGTAATAAGCACAATCAGCGCAGTCAAGTGGTATATCCCACAGATAGTTTGGGTATACGCAGCTCCCGACCGACTTCCCAAAGTAAGTGGTGTAGACCCCTGTCCTCACTCGTATGCTTCACCTCAGCCACCTAGTAAAAAAGTTCTTGCCACATCCCAAAAAGTGTTTCTAGAAATCCAAGTGTTTCAGTAGCACCAACAGCGCCCAAATCTCATAGATATCAGGCCTAACGGAGTCAGTGGTTATGTGACCGCAAACCGTACTCCAGTGGAGGTAAGGCTGAGATATATATAGAGAATCATGTCGTGCAGTAGATAGCGTGATATACATTCCCAGTTTAACTTTCTTCTTACTTAGACTCTAGGATGCAAAATGTGATTGAGTATGCGCATATGAATGAGCACGAAATGTATATTACTACAACGGGTATAATTATTTTCATTTGCGGCCAAGTTAAACTTTTGACACCACTAACTACCAATCAGCGAATGACGTCGAATTATCAATGAGATTCACGAACATAGTTCAATGTTGTATGGCGCTTGATTCATTTCAAATGCATGCCCTTGTGGTGAGAGCAGGCTGCTAGCCAACTGGTAGACATTAATCTAGGCTGATTGGTTAGCAGCCCGCTCTCACCACACTCGCCCCCCCATCAAATAGATTCGTACGCAGACGTCCCGGCCTTCTGGGTGCTACATTCTCTTGCACTTGTCACTCCACTTCGCCTTCCAGGTGACATGGTATTCTTCGCGTTGTAAATGACCTTACTGTTGGATCACTTAACGGAATTTCATGATTCACCTTGTCGCAATAACCGTATAGGTCGCCACCTCCAGTGAACAGATGATCGTATTTATTCATTAACTCTGTCACATTGTATACCGTCGACAGCTTCACCGCTGCTATCTCGCTGGTCTCATACATGTCGATATGCCCGTATTTCGTGATCACCACTTTCGCTTGCGTGTCGATTATTGCACCAATCTCACGCAGAAAATCCGCTCCTAGTATCGTTCGCTATAGTTCGGGTACAACAACGAAAGGAAACGTCACCTCGAAGCCGCCAACAACGACCGTACAGTTCGATCTACCCGTGATACGCAACACATGCCCGCCTACTGTTTGTACTGTCAATGAACACGGACTAACACTCTTACATAAATTCTTATCTATTAACAACACGGCCGCTCCTGTATCTACTAAGCATATTACTTCTCGATCATTTACTCGCAATTTCGAATACGCAGCCCCTTTCTCAATAGCCCCCACTGAATCTAGGTTCATACGAGAGAAAGAACAAGTATTATACCGTCTGAAATTTCTTCTTTTTCGCCTTTCTGGGCAGTATCTTCTCCAGTGTCCCGGCTTACCGCATTCAAAACATCGGTCTTTTCTATCACCCAACTTTAACGCCGCCGCTTCCCACTGCAATGCTTCAATTTTCTGCTCATATTCGTTTGGTTTTGGCTGCTCTATAGCGGCTACCGTTGTGCTCAGCAGCTGTCTGGTCACCTTCGCTAGCTCACTAATATCCATCGGCTGCGTTGAGTTAACCAGTTGTAATCGCTGAGAAATGTGGTCTGGGACACTCTCGATGAATTGGGAAGATAGTAACTGCTCTTCTGATTCTTTATCCAACGTGGGAAGCGCCCATCGAAGTAAATTCGTCAATGTCACCGCCAATACTAACGGGTCTCCATCAGGTCCCAGCTTCGTTGACCAGAACTGCTGCATCGCTAGCTGTCTGTCTGTTGCGCTGTCAAACTCCGACACCAAACTTTCAACCAATTTCTTCCAAAACGCTGTGCCATTTGACCTGTCTACGCTGTCATATGCCGCCTTCGCTCGGCCTCTCAACAGCGTCCTCAGAACAACTGCCTTCGCCGCCTGCTCCTTGACACCCACCAGCTCAGCGACAGCCTCGAAGTCCCGTAAGAAGCTCCGCATGTCTCCTTCTTCAAACGCAGTCGGGCACAGGATCTTCATTTTTCTGGAGGCAGCGACACCAAATGTAACAACACAAGACAAGGGCCAGGCAACAGATCGTTTTATTACGAAAATCAACGCATATTCATGTATATTTTATGTACATTAATAAGGCTTATGCAAGCAGAAAAAGGCAGTCTTCTAATTGGTTGTTTCTCGGAAGTTAAGCAGACAAACACAGTCTTCTGATTGGTTGTTTTCGATATTTATCGGAAAGTAGAGTCATTTACCTGCGAATCATATTTGCCCACGTTTAAGTCTGCTGTGATTGGTTGTTGAATCAGCCTAGGTTAATATCTACCAATTGGCTAGCAGCCCGCTCTCACCACACCCTTACAAAGTTATGGTTGCAGTTCGAAGAGGATAGTGTTTTCTAGTATTGCCTTGATTTAGGGTTGTTCCGGAAGGAGCGAACTTGTTCGTGTGGTGGTATCATGACTTTAAAAAGCTATAGCAGATTAACCGATGGATTTTTTCATCGTTATGCTATATGTTTGAAGCGTTCTAGCATTGGAGAAAATAAGCTGATAATTTTGATATTTCGTAGAAACTTTTTTCGCCTTATATTACAGTCGCCCTTTGA